GCCGACGACCAGCTTCTGTATGTTATAAGTTTTTTTTAAACAAAAAGTGTTTTTATTTAAGTGGTAAGTTTTTGGCACTTATTAGTATCGCATTTATTTTATCCCTCAAAGATGTGTTGTCACCCTCAAGTAACTTTTTGCAATAAATAAATCCTCTTTGTATTTATTTTTGAATTTTGTTTTTTTAATAGGCTGTATGGACAAAACGACATACATGAACACTGGACATAATGTCGTTTTGTCCATAAGAGCTGACTCAATGAGGTTAATTTAATTTAGTTGTTATTTTCTTCACAGATATTCCAAAATGCTACGTAATTATAAGCGCACGACTGATCGCCAATCCTGGAGTACTGACTCAATGCAGAGAGCTATAGAGGCAGTTCGAAATAATGAAATGGGCTGGTTAATGGCATCAAAAACATTTGGTGTCCCTCAAGCAACTCTACGGAGACATGCTTTGGGTACTAACAAAACTTTGGAGACCAATTCAAAAGGTCTTGGATCTTGGAAATCTACCTTTCCACCTGGTGTGGAAAGGCAATTAGTTCAGCACATAAAATTCCTTGAATCTCGTTTGTTTGGATTGACGCGAGCAGCGGTGTAAGAATTAGCTTTTCAGTTAGCCGAAAGAAACGGTTTAGCTCATAGATTCAACCCACTGAAACAAAAAGCAGGACAAGAATGGATGGAAGGATTTCTAAGAAGAAATAAAGATATCTCTCTGCGCAAACCTGAAGCTACTTCAGCAGCCCGTGCTCAGGCTTTTAATAGGCCTCAAGTCGAAAAGTTTTTTCAACTATATGGAAAGATGCTGGAGACTGTAGGCTTTAGGCCACATCGTATATATAACGCTGATGAATCAGGTCTATCTACTGTTCAAAAACCCCAAAAGATATTGGCTACTACTGGCAGAAAGCAAGTTGGCGTTATAACCAGTGCAGAGCGTGGAACGAACACCACTGTTGTTTGTTGTGTTAATGCCGTTGGTACGTTTGTCCCGCCGATGTTGATCTTTCCTAGGAAAAACATGAAAAATGAACTTGTCGACGAAGCTCCTCCTGGTACTTTAGGTGTAGCTCAACAATCAGGGTGGATGACCACTGAAATATTTCTGAAATGGATGAAGCATTTCCAAAATTTTGTGAAAGCAAGTATTGACGATAACGTAATTTTGATTATCGATGGCCACCAGTCATAAAGGGATTGAAACTTTAGAATATGCGAAAGACAACGGTATAATTGTTATTTGTTTGCCTCCACACTGCATCCATCGCATGCAGCCTCTGGATGTTACATTTTTCGCGCCCTTGAAAACTTACTTCAACCAGGAAATATCCCAGTGGCTGAAAGCACATCCTGGGCGTGTTGTTACACAATTTCAGATTGCCGGCCTGTTCAACAAAGCATACAGCAAGGCAGCTACAGTGCAAAATGGTTGTCAAGGATTCAAAAGCACTGGCATTTAGCCTCTAAATCCTGGAATATTCCCTGATTATATGTTCGAGCCTGCGGAGACTACAAACATACCGCTGGAAGATACCGCCAATGAGCAACCTCGCCCTCAAATGGCTTCTGCTCATGCTCCTATTCCTGGGCCATCTACACAGCTACAAGACGATTCAGTTTTGCTTCCTGTAACACACGTTCTTGAAATTGCCGAGACTACACCACCTCAATCGCCACCTCAGCCACAGAGTTCCCATACCATGGTACCTATCAATCAACAAGACGATCCTTCTGAGGTTCCAGCAGCAAAAACTGATCAAAAAAAGATTCTTTCAACTTCTCTTTCGAATCAAACTCATTCATATGCTGCTTCATCGTCCTCTATACTTAGTGTCTCTATCGAGAAGATTTGTCCGGTCCCAAAAGGACGCTTTATTAGTGGCCAAGGGAAACGTAAACCAAAGACTCGGCAGTCCTCTTTAGTTTTAACTTCCACTCCCAATATGAAGGAAATTAAATCAAAAAATGAGCCCAAACCTCCCCCAGTGAAGAGGATACGAAATGTTACTAAAAAGATATTTGAAGATGACAGTGACGAAGAAAATATTCCCAATAACTTTCAAGATGATGAAGAGGATTGTCCATGCATATATTGCAATGATCTTTTTTCATGATCTAGGCCCAGAGGACTGGTTGCGGTGCTTAAGTTGCTCGCATTGGGCTCACGCGGCTTGCGCTGATGTTCCTAGAAGAACCAAGCATTTCATATGTGAACTGTGTCAATAATTGAATAGTTTTTACATATATGTCATTTTGTCCTTGTGTAATATGTCATTTTGTCTAAAGCATATGGACAAAATGGATTTTGCTTGATATTGGTTAAACTGAGAAATTTTTTATTATTTCTATCCTATAGAAAATGTTTATTTGTTTTGATAAGTAATGAACCAAAGGTGATTTGTGTGGAATATGACTGTGCCCTGTCTTATCAATAAAGATTTGTAAACCAAAAGTAAAACCATATGTCATTTTGAAATTATTTTCCCGGAGTGAAAGCGTGAAAGCGTGAAATCGAAATGATGTTTTTTTTGACAATACTGGGACCTGTTACCTGTTTGAATAGTGACAAAATGTTTTTTTTTCTACAATCGGCCTAGAAAGTAGACTTTGTCAAATTTTACCTGCAAAATGTGTCAAATCCTTAGAAACGCTATGCATGCCACAATGTCCACCAGGTCAAATAAAATTTTTCAAATCCCTAAAAGGCCGTACAAGCGAAAGAAATAAAGTTACAATAAAATATCATCAAGTAAAGTAATAGAGAATTTTATTAGGTACAATAATCTGCAGGTTTGCTATTTAATTTTTTTGCGAATTCTGAAGCACTAAAATGGCCACAGCGCCTAAAGTAAAATAGCTAGCAAAAAAAGTCATAAGGCAAAGTTGATCATAATGTAATTAGCTACAAGTTTTGTAGAGGTCATTTTGTCGAAAAAAAATAAATAAGAAAAAGGCCAATAGGGCCGCACGCACAAGGCATTCGAGTGTGATTTTTTGGCTCAATACTCAGGACACACTCCCCAATCAGCCCTGGAAAAATCAGCCTGCCCTCGCAAAATTTTTTGCGTCCCAGGTATAAATTTCTTGGGCTATATCTCTTTAAAAAATCATAATTCCGCTATCTGTGGTTCTTTTTTCAATCAAATTCTAATATGTTAAAGCTAAAAGGCTTCTGGATATATTACAAAATTTGTCATTCTTCAAAATATCCTAGATTTCCAGGAAAAAAATTTGAAATCAGGCCATACTCTGTATTGTAAAAATATCATTTGGTGTCTCTCTGGGATTAAAAAATTCGTAACTCCGTTATTTTTGTTTTTTTCTCAATTAAATTTTAGTATGTTAAAGCTAAAAGTCGTCTGGATATTTGAAAAAATCGTCATTTTTTCAAAATTTCCCAGATTTCCTGGCCCCCCCTCCAAAACTGCATTTTTACGTATAAAAAAACTCAGAGCGTCGCACCCTGACACCTCATTTTTTTTTTTAGACTTTCAGTCTCACACAACCTATGTAGGACCCCCCAAAAACATAATTTTCTGAATCCACCTGTAATTTGATGTAATTAGCACAAATCATAGATTCAAGAAAACCGTTTTTTTTTTCTTCCAAAGTCAAAACTTTGAAATTTAAATTAGCCAAAATTATCATTATATTGATTTTAAAGCACCATTATAGGAAAAATAATAATTTATTTAAGCAGAAACCTGTCCGAGATAAACCAAAAAATAAGATATTGATTTAAATTAAATTTCGCTAACGGTTAAATGACAATAATTTGGCAAATCCGAAACCGCTTTTTTATAATATACAACATTTGAAAAACTTAATGGGTCAATGACACAAAAACTGACCCATGAATTATCATTATTATTGATTGATGACAGATTAAGACAAATTTGTATGTGTCTACCTGGTTTCTGCCTACATTTTTATAGGTAATGTCCTGTTACTAATGAGTAAGTTTATGCCTAATAACCTGGAACAATTTTAAGTTTTTGAGGAAATGACGGCCATGACATCTTTGAAAATGTTTAACCATACCATAATAGAAGATGGATATTGTGATTAGTTGCATCGATTTGAATTTGTTGAGTAATATCCAAAGCCTAAAAAATCATTATTTGCTTTAAAATTGATTCATTTTCATGGGAACATTCTAATTCATCAGTAACTCTTTTCGTCGGTAGCCGACTCCGTTTAATAGCGCGTCGTTGCTTCTATAGAAATGTCTGTTGGTCGATAATATTTAAAATAAAATACCGTAAATCTAATGATTTAGATCCGGTTAATTCATCTTCATTAGAGTTTCGTTTATCGATATTTTCATTTTTGATACTTATTAGGTTATCCAACTATACAACTTATACAAGGTAATATTATTATTAACATTTTACCATTATTATTTAAAATAACGCAAAACGGATGTGAGATTTCTTTCAAAAAATTTATTCAAATTTGAATGAGCAAATAATGTTTGACTAAAATAAGAAAATATTGAATAATGTAGGTAGATGTTAAAATAGGGAAATACAAGTAAGTTGACATCAGGCTCTAATTGAATATTGATGTTGATCTATTTGAAAGATAATTTAAAACCAATTATGACTTTACTAAAAATAAAGTATTTATAGCAATAATTAACAAGTATAAGTCACGTAGATGTTAACTAATTACATTTGCGAATTAGAGCCTCAACATAGCAATAATTGCTAGTTCCTAAATAAAATTCCTGTACGTAATTTTCAAATTTTTTACAAAAACCTAGACCTACATGACGCAACTTCTTTACAATATCAAAAAGTAAATTAATTTACATAAATTACAAATCTAGAAGGATAAATCGATAGTCGAAAAATTACTTTTGCATTTCAGGAAAAACAATACAAAATTTTCATTATTGACTCTTTCTAAATGGGTTGAGAAACATTTCAATGAAAATGTAAATTTTCAGCTACAATTTGAAGCAAAATAATTTTGGTGAAAATTCTTACCTTCTTCTTGACATTTCGTCACATTTCTCAAACACCTCTTGCCGATTTCTTCTTCGCCCAGCAACTCTTCACTCAATTCCAGTTCGATAACGTTGTTTTCCAACGAGTAATTGTTCGTTTTCGAAAACGGCACAGTAAAATTTGTTTTTCCATCGTTGCGATTCAATAATTTTTCGGCACACTTTATGTCGGTCACCACAAAATAGAGAATTACGAAAAAAGGGATTTTGAAAAAGTGCATCATTGTAACATCATTAAAAATTCGTTTGAGTAATTTTTTATTAATACACTTTGTCAACGATATATTGCTTACGACGACGCAAAGTCTTGTAAATCGCCGACTATATTTTATGCAATAGCTGTGTGGTATAAGGTAGTGGGGTATTACCTTAACTGTTAATTGGAAGATTAGACTACCTAATTTTCGCCCGGTAGAAATGTAAAATCAAAAATTCTCATTCTCTTATGTCCCTTACCAAAAGATATATTTTTTAAACTATATAGAAAGAATTTGTCGGTCATAATTAGAGCTCATCGGATTTCCTAGTAATTATGCCATAAGCGATTTTTGATGATGGCAAAGTTATTTTGGTTATTAGAAGCTAAAAAAGGATGTATCAAGTTTGGCACACAAATCGTGGTTCTATTTTTAAAAATGTTTTCACAGGTGGAGGTTCAGGAAATACGAGAGGGAAAGCGTTAAAGAAAAACAGAAAAGTGAAAAGAATCTTGACGCGATTTTTTCTCAGGAACTATTGAAATTTTACAGGGTTTTGGTAGAGAAACCAATCGCTGAAAATGTCAGCTTTCTATCTATGATTAGAAGAAAATCGAAAAAAGCGCGGAAGAAGAAAAGGTGGAAAACGCAGGAGGAGAAAAACTGGAGAGACAGTAAGGAAAAAATAAATCTTGGGGAAAGGAAAAAAAAAACTAAAAATAAGACTGATCAAGGTGAGAAAGTCAGCTAGAGAAAGTTAAAAAAAAAATGAGGAAAGAAATTTAAAAAAGAAAAGAGAAGAAAAGTTTGAAAATATTCCATGAAGAAGCGATAAGAGGAAAATTCAAGAAACAGAGTGTTGGATAAACTGATATTCATATCAGTGAAACAAAAATTAATAAATTAAACTTTGATTATTAGCCTATACTTTGCTAATTTATATCGCAGCTATGGATGACTGAATGTGTTTATAATAGTTTTTATATGTAAGATAAACAAATTATATTTTCGATTCAGAAACTTGTATTTTAAAAAACATTTATTTTATTGATTAAAATACAGAGGTGACAAAAGAAAATATTCGGATCAAATTGCTACAGGCTAAAGCCAGAAAACAAATGAACGTTCCTTATGGGACTGCATCGGCTTAAATAATCATTTAATGCCGACATAGCAATTTGATGTTTACTTTACAACAATGTATTTAAAAAGTCCTAGAGGAAAGGGGTAAGCACATTAAAGCATATAAAAAATAGATAATTGGTTATAAATCAGCATGGCAATTGGTTAATATAACTCCTCCCTCCTTAAGATGTTGCAAACGTGGATTGTTGTGAATTCAAATCAGACAATTCAATTTGCACATTTGCACAACCTTTTTCTGAAGTTTTAAACTCCCTAAAACAGTAAAACAGTAAAATTAAAAATAAAATAGCAAGACTTAAACCTATGATTACATATGTGTTTAAATAAGAGTGTTCAAAAGACAATTATTTTAGATTATGAACTCTTATTTGTTTCGTCGTCTTGAAGGCTTCTTCTAAGTCTTCTTGGTTGATTTCTTGAAGTTCCAATGTTGTTGCGTTCTCCGGAAGTTCAGGGATGTCTATTCTTGGATTCTTCAGTTCAAAATTGAAGTTCTCGCTGGTTTTTGAAAATGTTTGATTTTGTATTTTCACAAAGCATTTTTTCAAACGAAACTAGCGTTGGATTTGTTATTATTTCCATATGGTTTGTCTTGTCACATTGAATAACTATGGTCAGGCTTTTTTTAGGAATGACTATTAGTTGTCCATTCGGGAGTTGTCTCACTGTTGGTTTTTCATATTTCACTTTAGTGAAAGGACATTGTTGTGGTAGGTCAGTAATCTGGTCATAGACACATGATTCTTCTTGCTTCAGCTCTTCTTGGTTACAAAGGTACACACTTTCGACTTTCGGGCATTCCCATAACGTATTGTAGTAAATGTCCGTAGTAAGTAATAGGTAAGGGTACTTATTCCTAATGGTAAGTTCTTGGATAGGAATTGGATAGATTTTATACAATATAAAGGGCTTGGGATCAATCATTGGTGTGTGTTTAACAAATATAATTAACTCATTTTGGATTTTTACTTGAGTTTTCATTGTCTCATAATACTTGATTTTATTATCAAAAGGTATTTGCTGACTTTTGGGTATATTCGTTAATATTTAATTTAATTCATTATGCTGTAAGATAGTATAATGCATTATTCCCAATTGTGCAAAATTTATTGCTAATTGCACATGATCAATAAGATTCCTTATTTTATTACTTTCAATATTGATATTGTTCAATATTAGATTAAAGGTTAACATTGAGTGGAAATTTTGGTTTTCCAAGGAAATATTTTGTAATTTTCCTGTGATAACCTTTTGGTTAGATTCAATAGTTAAAAATTGATCGTGAAATGTTTTTGTAACTTGTTTCAATACTTGAGCTTCTGTTTTTAGATCTTCATTGAGAGTTTTTTGATTATCATTGAGCGTCTGGATATAAGAATCATATCTTGCGCCGTCTTCAGCATCTAGGGTTCCGTAGAGCCATTTTTGTGCTGTGCCCATGAAATTTAATAGACCTCTTTTATTACGTTTTCGGTCTTGATAGGTTCTGATTACTTGTTTCATAATCTTAATTTGAGAATGACTGTTTTCAATATTTGTTTGAAACAGTGCAACAAATTGGTTTGACCATGTTGTTTTGTTAAGAGTGTCAGATAATTTCATTAAGGTAATTTCCAGTTTATGGATACTTTGTATGATAATTGTCGTGTTTATGTGATAATAGGCCGTGTTATGTTAAGTTGTTACGTAAGTAGTTCCTAAAGAAATTGGTAAAATAGGATTTTCTACCGTCATCAATGTATACGCTTGGGTGACTCCAACGAGAGTTAGGAATACTAATGGATTCATCTCGGAGTACCTGAAATAAATTATTGTCGTTTAACATTTTGTTTAGCAAAGCGATTCTGTGTTTTGCTATCATAACGCGGACTTATCTTGTCTCTATTAAATTGTTTTACAAAGATTGGATCTTGTAATTCTGGTTCAGGTTCACGATTTTTATTACGTGATTCTAAAGACTTTGTTTGTTTCGCTAATTATTTGTCTTGAATTTCTTTATTCAAATTTGCAAGAGATTCTGCCAAACTTGTTATATAGTCAGTTGTTAGTTTATTTTCCGTTTATTCGATTGGTATGGCATAATTCAAATCTCCTTTAATCACTTGAAAAGGGGTGTGATTCATTGTACTATGAGTACTGTTGTTATAATTCAATATAGCGATTGTCATTAGATCAATAATACTCTTATTCGGGTTTTGGAATTTTAAACTCGTTATACTTTCACGTAGTGTCGAATGGAATCGTTCGATTGGACTATTCGAGTTCGGGTTTCTTGGAGTTGTGTAATGAAACTCAATTTTGTATAATGTACAAAGATCTGTCATTAGGATTTTTGAACTCTGCTCCATTATCTGATGTGATTTTTTGAGGTATTCCATGATCACTAAAATATTTCAATAACTGTGATGATATCTCAACAGCTGTTTTCGTATTTACAGAAGAGGCTTGACCAAATTTTGAAAAGCTATCAATAATGGTCAGAAATTTCTGGTTATTGATTATATACGTGTCAATATAAATATGTTCAAAAGGTTTCATACCAATGGGCGTTGGTTTGAATATGATTTTGTATGGTTGACGTTCATACTTGGTTTTATTGCATATCTCGCATACTTTGACATAATTCTGTACGTCTTTCTCGATATTGGGCCAATAGAATCTTTTCTTTAAGACTGCAACATTTTCAGTGATTCCTCTATGAGAGGTTTTAGTCTCATGATATTGCTGAATTTTCTCTTGTTGAAGATCAACGTCTGTGATGTCTTCTAATAAAGAGTTCGAGATGTACAATGTAAATGAATTCGAATTAAACGATTCTTGTAATGCTCGTATCACAATAGGTTCTAAAGATTTATTTAGGAAATGAAGGCAATAAATACCAGGTGGCATGTATTCCTTTACTAAATTAGTAATTTGTGATGTTGGATTATTTGGTAAGAAGAATATTATTCTCTTTTTATTACCAAATAGTTTGATTATCTCTTTTCTAATTGTGTTATTATTGGAATATCGAAATACAATTTGATTTCCAAATACATTTACATGTTTCTTAGTATATGGAGCTCCTAATATTGGATTTTCCATAGATGTATGTATTGTTTGGTCATTTTCAGACAAGGCTGAAATTGTTGAAGAACGATTAGTTGGTGTTATTTGTCTGTTACTTTTTTGAGTTTTCGAAGATTCTCCGATTTCTATGGGAATTTCTTTTTTCTCTTTTCTTGGAGGTATTATTAGTTGTGATAATATCTTTATTTTGGGTTTTACTTTCTTAGGTTCCTCTTCAGGTTCCTTTTCTGATGCTGTCTTTGTTGATTGAGATGATTCAGACATTGTTATCTCTTTTTCTTTAGCTATCTCGCATTGTTTAGGAAGATATACTCTAGAATCTGTAAAGTATTTTGCTATGATTTCATCATTACATAATGGTGTATCTTTCAGCATTAATCCTAATTTTTTATGAAATTCTTCATCTGAAGATGTTAATCTAGCATCTGGATCTGATTTTTGAATGGCATGAAGTTGTATTGCAGGAATTCTTGATAGTGCGTCTGCATTCATGTTTAATGTTCCTTTTTTGTATTTGATCTCATAATCAAATTCAGATAGTTTTAGTCGCCATCTGACTAGTTTAGAACTTGGTTCTTTAACATTAAATAGCCATTGTAGAGGTTTGTGATCTGACAAGATTGTGAATTTTCTACCAAAAAGATAAGGTCGAAAATATTTTGTTGCCTATACGATTGCTAAAAGTTCTTTTTCAATCGTCGAATAATTACATTCAGCTGGGTTTAACGTTCTTGATGCGTATGCAATGGGAAGATCAGCTCCGACAGGACCTTGAGATAAAACGGCTCCAATTGCATAGTTTGATGCATCGGTTGTCAATAAAAAAGTTTTCTTAAAGTCAGGATGTTGTAGTATTGGGTCATTTATTAATACATTTTTACAAGTTTCAAAGCTATTTAGAAATTCTGCATTGTGTATTATTTTTTTGTCTTTTTTCAAACAAGATGTCATTGGTTTG